TATTAGATCATACAATGAACTTATATAGTTGGCGTTTCTCCATGTGATACCATATCACGATATGGTATCGTGAGATGGAATCAACGTTTATACATGCAATTTTACGCTGATTTCATCTCATGATACAATATCATGAGATATAATACCATATGCTCCAAAAATCATAATATGAAATCATATGAGAATATCATATCATGATTTGAGTTATTTTAATATAAAATTTGATCCACAAGTTTATATTTTGTTAAAACAACCCCATATTTATATCTAATAATCATTTATTTCACCTGTAAATAAAATTTATAATCATATTATTACTTTTTAAAATTTATTATTCTCACCGACATAAAATTTATTATTCTCACCAACATATAATCAATTTAATTCACACTTTACGATTGTTAAGTAATAAAATCTTGAAGAGCCCGTGAAAAGTGTTTTATTTTTACTCAAATATATTGATAAAATAATTACTTAAGTGGAGAACAAATAACTTTATGATAATTTATTATACGATTTTATGATTTTTTGTTTATTTGATAATATTGAATAAACAATTGAGACTGTTTTAATAGTTTTAGAGCTTATGAGATTTTTATGTTTATGAGAAAAATATACAACATCAAAATTTCATATCGCATGTCTAAACAAAACTTCAATTTCATCTCATAATTCCATAGAATAATACCATATCATGATTCCATATCATGATACCATATCCATACAAGCCCTTAAAGACATCATATATATGTATAAATATATTAATACATGCACTAAATAGAAATTACTAACACAATCTGCTAAGATACATAATATGTTCATTTATTAAATTATATCTTAACAATGTCATGTTACCTCGTAAAATTTTTAATGATTGGCAAAATGATCTGATAAGTTTTTTTTTTAATTAAAAAAATGGAAGTTTGATCTAACATTTGACCATATATTATGGGTAGAGCTGCCAATATAGGCTAGCCCACTTCATCTGGTCTAATCTATACAGACTTTGACATTTTATGAGCCAGGCTCGACTAACCTTTTTTTGGTGTGGGCCAGAAAACGGTCGGTCCAACCTTCAAGTACGTGACTTGCTAGGTCAGTCCATTTTTTTAAAAAATTATATTTTTTTATTATTAAATTAAATTATAAATTATCATTTAAAAATATTATCCAAATATCGACAAAATAATATTACGTGATGTTAATGTTACTATTTATTAATCAAATCAACAAATAAAATTATCTTTATAATATTTATTAATTTTTTTCAACTAAAACTATAAAAATCTAAATAGAAATATTAATTTAATTGTTTTGAATTTGGACTCTCTTTAAATTTAAATTTTAATATTATATTATATTTTTAATTAATTTTTATTGGTTTGTGGGCCGACCCTACTGATATTTCTCAAGCCCCACAAATCAGCAGATTTATTCATGCCGGATAAAAAATTATTTTCTTAAATGGGCTGCAAAATTTTTAGTCTGACCCTATTAAATTCCGAATTAGACTAGACTGGCCCAACGGGCATAACCCATATTAACGGCTCTAATTTTGAAAATAATTTTAAAAATTATCTTCAAATAATTCTTTTGACCATGAAGTTTGACAAAATTTGATCTTTAAATATCATGAAGACTTAAATTTTTTTGACTTTCACTCACAAAATTTTATTTTTTAAAATAAAATGTTGTTTTAACACAAATTTGAATATTAAAAATCATAACTTCACACTCATATATCCATAGGTGTTGCAAGAATTTTTTGGAAATAATTTTGACAAAATTTGTTTAATTTTGAAAAAAAAATTTTTGCAAAAATTCCAAAACGTACAAAAAAAGTGATCTTTGGCCCAAAAATAGTTGAGTTCTTTTAAAATTTAAAATTACTTCAAACTTGTATATGTTATTTAAAAATGGGAAAATTATATATAATAGCAAACTAATAACCTAAAATAGATAGAGTAGCTAGGGTTTAATTTAATTGTGCTCCATAGCAAACGTTTGCAAAAAATTGTCAGGCGCCTCTCTCCCAAATATCTCGCGCGCCACTCTCCTCTAATCTCTCGCTCGCTTCCTCACTTTTTATACAAATACAAGTGTATAAAAATTGTTTCTAATTGTATAAAGCAGAGAAAATTGTATTAATACATATATTTTTGTTCCCCTCTCTCCCCTCTTCCAGATCTCGCTCGCCACTCTCCTAAATCTCGCTCGCCATCCTCGCGTTTCTCACTTATACAAACAAAAGCGAAATGTATAAATTGCATTTCTTTTTTGTATAAAGCGTGAGAAAATTGTATATACACATGCAAGTACATATATTTTCGTCCTATACACTTATAATTATACAATAAAAATACTCCCCTGCCTAGTTTTTTTTGTCTTTCTCTCTTTCTCGTTTTATACAATTTTCAAATTGTATCTAATTTCTCTCTTTCTCGTTTTATACAATTCGATTCAATTATATATTCCTTGTCAAGTTTCTTTTGTCTTTTTCTCTTTCTCATTTTATACAAATTCAAATTGTATATAATCGTTCTATACACTTATAATACTACAATTCGTTTTATACACTTCATTTTTTATACAGTTTTCTGTCCAATTGTCTTTCTCTTTCTTGTTTTATACACTTCGTTTTATACAATTTGCTTCAACTGTATATGTATAGCGAATTATACAGTTTCCATATTTGCTATGGAGCACAATTATGCAAATTTTGCTATAACATACAAATATAAATTTTTTATTTGTTATATGTGAAAGTTGCCCTTTAAAAATTCATCTACTTATGACTCCAATTAATTCTATTTATCATTTTTCCTCATTAAACGGACTCCTACTGTGTGAAGAACTTTTTCCGTAAAAATATAAAAAAATTATATTCAAAAAAAATCTAATTTTTACACCGATAGATCTTTGTAACTAACTGTTATTTGATGAATTGTAGTAGTAATTGTTTTATTAGTAGTTTTTATTAAAATATTCGTGTTATGATTTTTGGATAGTCTATTATCAATTTATAAAAAATAAATAATTTTGTGTCAATCTTATACTTAAATATTTTTGATAGTTTTTATAATTTACAGGAATTTTAAGAAGTAAAACATAACTATGACCAACAAATGTTGAAACTTCAGTTCAGACTTCCTCAAAATATAATTTTTCAAAATATTTAAAATTTATGGCCACATATTAATTTTTAAAAGCTAAATTTTTTAAAAACTGACTTTAAAATATATAACCAAATAAAGACGAAGTCTATAGAAAAGAAGGGGAAAATGGAATGGAAGGGGTATTGTGGACTGCAAGTTGAGAGGGTAGGTCTTCCAATAATTGACCACTAGTCTGTCTTAATTTAAATAATTCATGGAATGGGTCCTATGTATTTGGAGGCATCTTTTATTCTATCTACTCCATCATGTTTAAGTTAGGAGAAAATGTTGGTTGTTTGGTGAATAAAAAATAAATTATGTATGGATTAATTTTTATATAATATATAGAATATTTGATAGGTAGATAGAAAATAAATTAATATATAGAATTAATACACAATTTGATTGCGAATTTTAAAATTTGCATAACTGATACACCATATAGGAAGGGCGTGTTTGGTAGGAAGGATAAAAAATGTTTTTCTAGAAAATATTTTTTTAGAAAACAACTAGATTTATAAAATTTTTTTATCATATTTGGTTGGTGAATAGAAAATATTTTTTGGAAATGATTTTTAGTGTTTGATTTATGAATGAAAAATATTTTTGAGAAAAATATTTTATTTTTACTAGAGTAGAAAATAATCTTTTAAACTGAAAATATTTTTTAAAAAAATAATTTTTTTTGTGGGGTGGGGGGGGGGAGGGGGTGAAAAAAATTTAAAGTCAATTTTTTTAAAAAAATTAAAAATTAATTTTTTTTGCGTAGGGGTGGGGGACGTGGGGGCTGGGGGGGGAGGGGAGAGGGAAGGGGGTCGGGGTGAAATAACAAAATTTTGAAGTTGAACATATTTTTTAAAAAGAAAATGAAAATTTATTTTCGGAGAGGGAGGGTGGGTGGGGTGGGGGTGAGTGTTGGGGTATAGGGGTCGAGGTAGGGGTGATATAAATTATATATATATAAATTCTAGCTCCGCTATTGCAAATGACTATGATGTGTACTATCTTATTGAGGGTAGAATGTAGAATTACTGATTTTCACGTAATTATTACTATTATACTAATATCAACATTACCAAGACTTACATAATTTTAACCAACTATCCCTCACGTCCTTATCAAGTAGGCGTTTGAACGTGTAATATAAAATCATAATGTAAATTCACCGATTGAATATGCAATTTGGGAATTCAAATTGGCCCCAAAGCATGATTTGAGATTCTCATTTTTTGAAATGTAAAACTTAATTCAAAAACTTAAATTCCATCATTTGAATTATAAGGACAGACTCATACTTGACGTGAATTGATTATCCACACATATGAAATGACTATAAATTAATAATAACTCGTTACAATTATTGTAGACTAGTGCTTTTTTTTTTTTTATAAAATTATGTATACTTATAAAAATTTATTGTCACAAATATTTATTTATTAAAAAAAATATGAAAATGTATAATTTATTGATTTTAGCGCCTTAGTCGCATCTTGTTATAAACTATACATACTCATTTGATAAGATTGTATATTTTTTTAAATAAAAAATTGACATTTCAAAAAAGACATAATATATAAGTGTATCTTTCAAAACATTTGGCACAATATGCATAAACAGATATTTAAACTTGTATAAAATCAACCAAGTAGATAATGGATCACATGTGTTATAATACATGTAAAGGATCACATAAAACACAAATTGCAATGTAAGATGTTAGATAAAACGTGTATTTTTATTTTATTCAATTTTATATAAATTTAAATATTTACTTACACACACATAAAGTTAAAGGATAGAAATATAAAATAATACTAAATTAAAGAATTATTTGTACAAAAAAGAACTTCAAAAAATCAAATTTGCCTTTCCAGATGGAGCGCATTAAAGATGAAATAAAAATATGAGGTGCAAAGTGACCCCAAAAAATGAAAATGGGGTAGGGAACAACCATTTCCCTTTTTAGATTCAACACAAAAATCTCATGTTTTGTCACCACATAAGCTGTGACTATGGCTACTCAATCTCTTCTACAAGATGCTGCCTTTCATCAGGTTCTAATTTCTCTTTCTTTACTTCATAATTTATTTCTCTCTAAGTCGGTTTTTGACTGTGAAATTAAAAAAAAATTCACTTAATTTGAAATTTTCATGAAAAAAGGAAAAAAATCAAAATTTGAAATTTAAATATACTTTTTTTTAATATATAAACAAAAAACACTTAATTTTACTAATTTATCTCAAATATATGTAATCTGTTAAATGTTTAGCTTATCTATGCATTGTTGTTCAGAAAAATAACTACCCATGATATTATTTTGACTCCAATTTTGCAAAAATATTTTTAACACTTTCCTTTATGGGTCAAATGTAATATTTTCTGCTGCTTCTTCCTTTAAAACAGGAAGAACACCTAAAGAATATTAACGACTCCCAAATAACCTCAAAGAATTGAGGAGTTTGAAATTTTGAGAGTTTTTGATGTTCTTCAATATTAACAACTCCCAAATAACCTCAAAGAATTGAGGAGTTTGAAAATTTGGGAGTTTTTGATTTTCTTCAAAATTAACAACTTCCAAATCATCTTAAGGAATTGAAGATTTGAAAATTTGAGAGTTTTTGAGGTTCTTCTTGTGTTCTTAGTGTTTTTGAGGAAGAAAGAAACAAAAGATTACATTTAACCCAAAACTCCAATTGAAAAGTGTTAAAAAGTTGTTTGGGTTCAAAAAATGACTTTGCAAAATCAAAGTTAAAAATAGTCATGGATAAGTTTTTTGTATAATAACAATAATACAGATTAATCAAACTTTTAACATATGATATAAATGAGTCTTTTTTAAAAATTTAATCACATATTTAAGTCTTTTCCCAAAGAATAATATCTCACATAATATAATACAATAGACTAGGTAGGAGATTAATAGGGTTACAGTGTTGTCTCTCCTTTGTTCCTTTCTTTTTTAAAGATATTACACTACTTTTATATTAATTGTTATGGTTTTTTCATTGTTTTCTTCCTCTTTTACTTATTTGAGTTTGATGCACTTGAATTGAATTAAGGATATTTTAAAAATAACCTCTCTATCTTCACGGATCTGCTTACATCCTATCCTTCTCAGACGTAGATCCATGTACTAGCTATTACATATTGTTAAAAATAATTTTTTACTTTAATTATTTGTAATTTCTGAAGTTTGAGTTGTCGGTTGTATATGGTTATAGCTTTTGCAAATAATTGGTTGTTTGAATGCATTTTTGCTAGGAAACATGTAACATGATTTAAATATAGAATATAATTTAAATGAGGTTATTTATATTAAATTAAAATTTTAGGATAAATTTGGAAGTGAGGATATAGTGAGAGTGGAAAAAATGAAAATGAATTTCTGAATTGTCACGACCAATAACGGGTCGCGAGTGGCACCACACTTATCCTACTATGTGAGCGAACCAACCAATCTAAACCCCAACATTTCAACT